GGGGGGGTGTAGCAAGGTAGGGTCGGCATTTATGATTAACTAACCGAGAGGTTAGCGCTGCCAGCAGTCATGATTGATTAACTTGTTTTTCCAGAGGAGTTACCTGGTTTCAGTTGTTCCCTCTGAGTCATATATCAGAATGGCTTTTTGGGCTTCAAGATGGCTACTCTTAGGCTAACTTATTTCTCAGGGAGGTTGGGGTCCTACATTATCAAGGCAGAAGACTGGACAAAGTTATCTTGTTTTTTAGGAAAATAACTGGTAGTTGAGTAGAGAATGAACTGTAATGGAGAGACATAGTATACTAGAGAGATGGAGCAGGTATTAAATTACAGAAAAAGGGTAAGAAAGCTATGGTTAGGCTTGGACGAAGCAATAGTGGGAATGAAAAAGAAAGGCTTATTTCAATAAAAAATCTTTTGGGGAGAAATACAGAGGAATTGATTGCTGACTGGCTTGACAGGGGAAAGGTCGAATGAGAAGAGATTCACATTGTAAAATAGAGCCACGGAGTTGAGCAGGACACCAGAGCTGTGCTTCTTGAATAATATTTTAAGTAGGATTAAAATTAGAACAGAAGCAGCTGAAGATGTTTTAGGCTGAAGGATAAATAAAAAAACAGGTGAAGTGAGTCAAAACTTTCAGCATTATGACCTTGGGTAGATAAAGATTATGAAAAGGCTTGGCTCAGAGCATTGGCCTATTGGCACTCAAAAAGTATTTGTTTTTAAAAGAGAAAACAGTCACAGCATCAAAAATAATAAAATACATAGGAATAAACTTAACCAAGGAGGTGAAAGACTTGTACACAAAAAGCTGCAAAATGCTGATGAAAGAGAAATTAAAGAAAACAAATAAACTCTCCCATCTCATGGATTGGAGGATTTGGTTTTGTTAAGACAATAATACTACAAAAGTGGTCTGCAGACTCAATGCAATTCCCATCAAAATCCCAACAAAGATTTTTTGCAGAAATAGAGAAACTCATTCTAAAATTCACATGGAATCTCAAGGGGCTGAAAATAACCAAAACAGCCTTGAAAAAGAACAAAGCTGGAGGTCCCGTACTCCAAGATTTCAAAATTTAACACAACTTTCAGCAATCAAAACAGTATGACATTGTCATAAAGACAGACATATAGACCAATGGAATGGAAAGAAAGCCCAGAAATAAACTCTCATGTATATAATCAAGTGATTTTTGACAAGGATGCCAAGACCGGGAGAGGACAATCTTTTCAACAATTGTTGTTGGTAAAACTGGAGATCCACATGGAAAAGAATGAAGCTGGATTCTTTCCTTACACAATATTCAAAAGTTTACTCTAAATTGATCAAATATAGACCTCAGTATAAGAGCTAAAATTATAAGACTCAGAAGAAAACATTGGACTTTCAGACATTGGATTTGTCACTGATTTCTCGTGTATGACACTAAAAGCGCAGGTAACAAAAGAAAAAAAATAGATAAATTGGACTTCACCAAAATTAAAAATTGTGCATCCAAGGACACTATGAAGGGAATGAAAAGACAATCCACAATATGAGAGAAAATATTTGTAAATAATTTATCTGATAAGGGATTAATATCCAGAATATCAAAAGAATTTTAAATTCAACAAGTTCTAAAAAAATTCAAAAATGGGCAGAGAATTTGAATAGACATTTCTCTAAAGAAATGTGCAAACGGCCAATAAACTCATGCAAAGACGCTCAATTCACTAATTATTAGGCAAATGCAAATCAAAAACCACAATGAGATATCACTTCCTATTCATTAGGGTGTCTATTATCATGAACAAACACACGCATACACAAAACAAAACAAAACAACAGAAAATAACAAGTGTTTGTGCATGGAATGCCTGGGTATTCCTAGTGGGGATGTAAAATGGTATAGCTACTATGGTGTTGTTAGAGTAGGTAGATAGCCAGGCATTGCTAGAAATGGCATAAAAGTAAATGTGATTTATTTCCAGAGGAATTAACATTTAAACAAAAGGGTACTGACAAGAAGCCCACACGTTAGAACATGTACCAGGGAGTCACTCCGGCTGGAACAGGGAGGAAGACTGAGAAAGACAGGGCTGTGTGTCACTTCAGAAAAATGCAGAAAAAGTTTTGAACCAGCCAATAAAATTAAGACAAATGTAAAAAAAGCCTAATATAGATATAATTTGCTTAGGTTATGTCCAGGAAAGAATGTGAACCCTGTAGTATTCAGCCAGTGAAAAACCAAGGGAGGGATCTGTGTGCTAGGGAATAAATTGCTTGTTGTAACCCCCTGAGTGTGCCTGCTCACCAGACACCCAATCCTGCAAAACCATCATTAAAGCCTCACTCTGCTGTTCTCTTTGTCTCCATGTCCACTTATTGAGTTTGGTCCATAGAGAATATTTCTCACAGCATGAGCAGGAAGGGGCTTGGGGACTTTGGTGTTTACATTCAGTTAGATGCATGTTTACATTTTAAACATTCCATGCAAACTGTTTTCTTGGGATGTGGGGAGGGAGGGTATAGGTAACAGACCTTTCAAAACTAACTGGTTCCAAAGAGGAAGAGAAGCTGACCCTGACTTCACCTCAGAGTACATTATACACTCATTAGCATACTAAAAGTCACACCCCTTGGCACCATGACTGTTCTGAGGCAGACCAACTAAGGACAAAAAGAGAGCATCACCTCATTTCCTGGAAATTCCCTCCCTTTTCTGAGAAAAAATATTGCAACCCCTGCTTAAACTGCAGCTGTAAGAACACCCAACCCAAGCCACTCCTCTCCAGCACGTTCCCACGCTCTCTCCCTGAGTGCGTACTTCTGCCTTATTAAACTGCTTTGTACTTATACCAGCTCTACCTGCTCATGAATTCTTCCTCAGTCAGAGTCAAGAGCTCTTTTCCTAGGTTAAGGTCTCACCTAGTGCACAGGGAGATCTCCCCAGCTGAACTGCCAACAACAGTGTTAAGAAACAAAATTTAACCAAGTACATTTGAAGACCTACGTGGCTTATTAACAATTCATGAATCAGACAGTATCTCATCTGGTAAGTAGAGAAGAGCTGCAAAAAATGGCAAATATATAAAAATTTGCTTTTATAGACAAAATGGAGCAGGGCAAGAAAGTTACAAGCAAAAGAAAAGAAAGGATTGACTCAAGCAAGGTCACCTTTCTTTGGGGAAGGGTGGGGGTCTGTCCTGCTGATTACCTCCATGGTGCTGATCAGGATATTCCAGACTGACTGGTTAAAAGTCACATTCTGGAGGAAGGTTGAAATAACAATTAAGTCTTGGTTTGCTGTTGTGGGGACAAATGATTCCATTTTGGGCCTGCTGTTTCTTTTTCAAGAATGGAAAGGAGTATAGCAGTATCTTAAAAAATTAAAAATAGAATTACCATACGATCCAGGAATTACACTTCTGGGTATATAAAAGTACTAAAAGCAGAATCTCAAAGATATATTTGTACCTCCATGTTCATAGCACCATTACTTCCAATAGTCAAAAGGTGGAAGGAACCCAGCACCCGTCAATGGATAAATGGATAGATAAAATGAGAAACACACATAAATACAATGAAATATTCTGTCTTCAAATATAGATTTTGATTTGTTGCAACATGGATACATCCTAAAAACTGTATTAGTTTGTTTGGGCTGTCATAACAAATACAGGCATACCTCATTTTATTGTGCTTTACAGATATTGTGTGTTTTACAGATTGGTTTGTGGAACCCTGTACCAAGCACGTCTGTTGGCATTGAAAGTGAGCCGGCACAGCGAAGCGCAAGAGGGAGTCTATTTTAAATTAAACCTCCTCCATTTAAAATTACGTTAAAGGTTTAAAGGTAAAATTCCTAGACTGTTTTTTTTTTTAAAAAAAGAATTTATAGTCTGACTTTATCTAAAATCCAAACAAACACTCCCAAGAATCAATGGCCAGTCTGTTTTAGTGAGAAGAATCATTACCTTGGGGGAGAAAGAAAAATTACAAAAATTCTTTTGTGTCAGCTTATCTTATAGAAACATTGAAGACAGAGGTCCCTGACCAGGTTCTGGGAAGGCCAGTGAGTCAACATCTGCTGACGGTGAAGTGGCACCAACAGAAGCTGAAAGATGGAGATAACATCACGAGATAAGTCACCAATGCCATTCCTCCCGGCCCCTCGCCTTCTGAAACTGCCCTCCGGAGCCCCATGTACAACCCCTTTGAGCAGCTCAGCATTCCTCCTTCTTGCTGGCTTCCTTGCACACAAGCTATCTCTAATAAACTCTGCCAGCTTTCTTCTGAGTTCAATGTTCAACATTTCTATAACATTGAAATCTTTGGGGTCCAGTAATAGCATTTTTTCAACAGCATTTGCTCACTGTCTCTGTGTCATATTTTGGTAGTTCTCACATTTCAAACTTTTTCACTGGTACTATATTTGTTATGGTGATCTGTGATCAGTGATTACAACTTGGTGAAAGCTCAGATGATGGTTAGCGTTTTTTAACAATGAAGTATTTTCTAATTAAGGTATGTACATTGCTTTTTTTACACATAGCTTTGCACACTTAGTAGACAACAGTATAGTGTAAGTACAACTTTCATATGTGCTTGGAAACCCAAAAAATTCATTTAACTCACTTCATTCGGATATGTGCTTTATTGCAGTGGTCTGGAACCAAACCCACAATATCTTCAAGGTGTGCCAATACCACTGACTGGGTGGCTTAAATAATAGAACTTAATTTTCATATAATTCTGGGGGCTAGAAGTTCAAGGTCGAGGCAGATTTGGCTGCTCCTGAGGCCTCTGTCCTTGCCTTATAGACACCCACCTTCTCTCTGTGTCCTCACATAGTATTTCCTCTGTGTGTGGGTATATCTGTGTCCTGAACTCCTCTTATAAGGATTCTAGTCCTGTAGGATTAGGGCCCACCCATACGATCTCATGTTACCTTAACTACCTTTTTAAAGGCCTTGTGGTCAAATACAGTCACATTCGGAGATAGTGAGTACTACAGAACATGAATTGGTGGGGGGACACAGTTCAGTCTCTAACAAGGATTCATTTATGCTAAGTGAAATAAGCCAGTCACAAGAAGACAAATATTGTATGATTTCATTTAATGAGATATCTATAGTAGTCAAATTCATAGAGATAAAAGCAGTAGTTGCTAAGGGCTGAAGGAAGAGGGTAAAGGAGGATTGTCTAAAGGGTAGTTTCATTTTTACAAGATGAAGAGTCCTTGAGATTACCTGTATGACAGTGGGACTTTCCTTCATGCTACCAAAATGTGTCCTTAAAGTGGTTAACATGCTGTTAAAAAACAAAATGCGATCAAGCAAATTTATAGATCTAATTGGGTTTATTAAGCAGTTCATGAATTGTTGTGGGTAAAATTGTGACATTTCCAGATTATCTCGCCTTGCTTTAGTGCATTTGCATATCCTCAAGGGTGGAGAGAAGTTCAATTCCATGTTAGTGGGAGGGCATGTCTGAACCTGAGAGTTTAAAGGAAAGGGCTGGCTTGCTTGCTTCTTCAGGAGCAGAGGAGAGAGATGGCCCTGGAAAGCAGTTTGAAAGCAATAAATGCGTTTTAAACTTTATTTCTGCGTTTGACTGATTTCGGTTTTTAGAGGTATTTTGCCCTGGGAGTTCCTCTCCCCGGACTTACAGTTGTGCAGCAGGCCACCTAGCAAGTAGAGAAATGCTACAGGAGTTAGAAAATGGCAGGGTTTTATACACAAAAGGGTAGGGCAAGCTGTTATTAGCAAAAGAAAACATCAGGGATGGTTTCAAGTAAGGTCATCCTCACTTAGAAGGAGGAGGGTGTCTTATGCAGATGACCTCAGTAGGAATTCCAACCTGATTGGTTTAAAATTTCACTCTGGGTGGAATTGGTTTAATATTGCAGGCTGAAACTGCAATTAGGTTGGGTGTTAAACCCCACTTTGGTGATTTGTTCTAGAAATGACTCCATGTTAGGTGGCTGTATTTCTTTTTAACAATGGTAAATATATATATATATATATATATATATATATATATTT